CCTTCACAGAATCCCTTTTGTGAAGGCAGCTCCCTTCACAGAATCCCTTTTGTGAAGGCAGCTCCCTTCACAGAATCCCTTTTGTGAAGGCAGCGCCCTTCACAGAATCCCTTTTGTGAAGGCAGCCCTCTTCACAGAATCCATTTTGTGAAGGCAGCTCCCTTCACAGAACCCCTTTTGTGAAGGCAGCTCCCTTCACAGAATCCATTTTGTGAAGGCAGCTCCCTTCACAGAATCCCTTTTGTGAAGGCAGCCCCCTTCACAGAATCCATTTTGTGAAGGCAGCTCCCTTCACAGAATCCACTTTGTGAAGGCAGCTCCCTTCACAGAATCCATTTTGTGAAGGCAGCTCCATTCACAGAATCCATTTTGTGAAGGCAGCTCCCTTCACAGAGTCATTTTGTGAAGGCAGCTCCCTTCACAGAATCCATTTTGTGAAGGCAGCCCCCTTCACAGAATCCATTTTGTGAAGGCAGCTCCCATCACAGAATCCACTTTGTGAAGGCAGCTCCCTTCACAGAATCAAATCCAAGACAAGTAAAAACGCATGAAAATAAGCAAACGATTCACCAATATTTTTCTTTCCCAATTCAGCAATGTTGACCACCCTTGGAGCCAAGCACCACTGCTCAAGGGGAAGGCAGCAGAAATCAGACACTTAGTGCCTGTGCTGGCATCAGTGGCCTGGGATAAGGCCAAAGAGACAGGAGGCTTGAAAGAAAGCCATATAGCAGAATGTCCTCATCACTTGGCCATGTTCTATGACATCGTTGCAAATGCAGACTTTTTCATGACAGAGGATGAAGTCTGATGCAGCTCTGCATGCCATGCAGAGATGTTTGCAGCATTATGTTTTGGCTGCAAGCTCATGTCGCACAGGACTGCTTGTTCCATCTGGTACCCAAATTTCATTGGGCATACCATCTAGCTCAGATGTGCAAATACCAGAATTCCAAGACTTTCTGGACATACAGGCAAGAATCTTGGGTAGGCAGCATGGCAAAAACACAAAGCTGTCAGAGAGCTTTTGTGAAAAATATTTGCTAGGCCTGCAGCTCAGGCTCAACCAAATGGATGGCTTGAGATAAAGCTAATGCCATGACCTTGGGTCAGCCAGGTGCTTGAAACAAAGCCAGGCAAGATATGTGGCTTGAAAAAAGGCCATGCACAAGGCCAAAGGCAAGCTGGAGGCCTGCAAAAAGGCCATGCTTTGATACATATTACATCTCCTCTGTGTCACCGGTGCTTGCATTATGAACAAAAAGATGCGCCTTCCTGCAGCAACAACTATATGATTATTAAATTTCTATATGGCAAAACTTTCAATAATGTATATGGCAAAAATTTCAATAATTATTGAAAAAATCAATAATTATTGAAAATTTTCAATATCCATTTTAATAATTATTGAAACCGATATTGAAAAATATTGTTTGTTTTTGCATTTTTATCCGGATTGAAAAAATCCAATCTTATTGATATTTTCAATAAGATTGAGAAAATTCAATCCCTGGACCCTCAGGGTGACTTACAGTAGAGAGGCATATACCAGTCTCTACGGAAAAATCCTTGCATGCTTTCGCGAAATACAACTTGGATTAAAGGAGATTTCTTGGCAATCGGGGTTCCAAAGGTAACCGGTGTTCCAAGGTTCTGTGGTTTCAGCTTGGTATCTTTGCTAGCCCATCTACCATTGGCCAGTGCAGGCTGAAGGTGGCTAAGGTGTCATCGGTAATCATGACAATGACAATCAATGATAATCTGCAACCACAGTGGTTCACCCATCGTTACTACCCTGCCAATGGGTACAGAAAATTCCCTTTGATTTGGATGGTGGAAGAAGGCTTTAAGACTTGACAGTTACAGTAGAGCCCGGCGAAGCCGCAGGCGGAAGTTTTTTTTATTGAAAAACACCGTATTGTAGGACCGTGAAAATTTATTGGTCGATCAATAATTTGCCCAGTTACCATCCAAACTAACTCCACTGGGGGGTACTCAGATGACATCATCACAAAAATTTTGCAACCATTAATGAAAAGTAAACAGTTCTGAATACGAAGCTGGACACAGCTTTGAAATTCAACAGGGCTGCTCTTAGAAAAATGCGGTCTCTTTTTTCTTCCCGACCGTTTGCAAAGCATCGTCGTGGCGCGTGTGAAACCTAAAGGCCCCAAAATTCTAAGACTGTTTCAAGCGAGTAAGAGGCTCCCAATAGTCAAGGCTCCTTGTCAAGCTATTATCTAGTCGACATCACGCTCATCCTGGACACATTCCGGGTCAAATTCTTTCCCCTCCTCTTCCTCACCTTCGCCTTTCACACCTAGATCCTCCTTGTCCGGCACTTCCACTACGACGGCTTCCTCTTCAGGCGCATTATCGCCCTCTGTGGCAGCCTCCGCTCCTGCCGGCTCACTTCCCATCTCAGTTCCAGCCGGCGTGGCATCATAGAAGTCCCAACAGCCTGCGAAATGAATCAGATTGGCGAATATGCTGATTATGAACACCGGAATGGCAAAATATTCACAGCAGGTGGACCGATATTATTATTATTATTATTATTGGTCAACAACCCTAAGTACTAACGGTAATAAGAAGACCTTAGCTGCAGATCTATAAGAAACTTCTTGAGTTTCTTGACACTGCGACCTTCGCCAGACTCAATCCATTCCAGTTTCTCCTTCAAAGCTTCTTCAGAAATCGGAAAGCCGGCTCAAAAATCTTCTGGGAGCGGCTCAAGAATCGTCTGAGTGAGGTTCCAAAAAATCATCGAGTCATTGGGCGTAGAATAATCAATTTATTTATTATGTTATTTTATGTCAATTGTTAGTTTCATACCTTTGTGCTTTAATAATAGGGGAACCCAAACAGACAAACTACAGGACTGAAACTCCAGGGCCAGAATTTAGCCACAAAACAACAATAAAAATCTAAATTTGGCACCGCAATTCCGTGCACTTCCTCGATCGAATCGCCAGAAATTAAATGCTTACGGGCAATTTCCTCAGCCGCCACATTCAATGACAGTGACATGAAACTTGAACTTGACAAGCTGCAGTGAGTGACAGTGGGAGAGCCCTGCTCTGAAAGCACAGCCATGATCTCCTTTGCCTTGGAGGCCTTGTAGTATTTCCCGCCGGCCTGGCCATTGTTCATTTATTCAGTAAGGTAATGCCGGCCAAGCAGAAAGTACGACCAGACAAGAAACTCAAAGTTCAGCCTTCGCAACTTCCTTGCCATTCACCTTGACCCCACAGACGTTGGTGTGCTTGTAGTAGTAAACAGCTGACACCCTGCGGATCTCACCTGGAAAGAGCACTGTATTTGCAACCCCCATCACGCAAAATATCAGAAGTGAATACAAAATTGAGACAGGCCTTCAACCTCAGGCAGCCTTCTTTGACTTGGCCTTTGCTTTTTCCTTTGCCTTCGCAGATCCTTTCGCCACACCTTTCGCCTTGGGCTTTCCCTTATCAGAACCTTTCTTAGGTTTCGGGGCATCTTCTGGCTCATCCTCTGGTCCACCTCTGGCTTGGCCACAGCTGCATTCGATGCTGGCTTTGACTTTGCACCTTTCGATCCACTTTTCGCCTTGGCTTTTGCCTTGGCTTTTGCCTTGGCTTTTGCACTGTTGGGTCCACTTTTCGCCTTGGCTTTTGGCTTGGCTTTTGCACTGTTGGGTCCACTTTTCGCCTTGGCTTTTGGCTTGACAGGAACACTAGGTTCCTGCTCATCCTCAGCAGGAGGTGGCTCGCTGGAAGCCTTCGCCTTGACCGCTGCTGCAGCAGCGGCCTTGGCCTTGCCTGCGGCCGTCGAACCAGAGGCGCTTGCAGTTCCTGGCAATCGCATCAGTTTCAAAAAAGAATCACGCAATCAGGTCACTGGGCAGGCCTCTTGCTCGTCTTCCTTGTCTGAATCCGTCAGAGTTTTCACAGGGGCAAAGATTGGCAGGATGACCAGCGCAACTAAGATGATCACAAACGATCACGAGGCTTGGGCCCTTCCAAAAGGAACGATCTAAACAAATGAAAGTTGCTGGCGCATTCAACCCATTCGTGGGAAAAAAGCAGCTGCTTGACGGAGATTCCTAAACTTTGTTCACCTCATGCTGGCAGCCTGCTACCAAACAACATTGAATTCAACTATCATTCATGGAACTGCCAGCTTTTGGTCTGAAACACTTGGAGAAGGCCCCAATTTGCAAGGCCACCTGGCACTGGAGTAAAAAAACAAATATTCATACCAACCAATTACCAAGGGTTTTGAACAAATGCGCATGGCTTCTCCCGCCTCCCACACGACGGAACAATGAGGGTTTTTCGGCAACTTGTTCATCTGTCCCAAGTAGATTGCGCCAAAGGTAGCATGCCTGCCACTGCAGCACGGCAGGCTTAGTGATAACTGCTGGTTGAATTCAAACTCTTGGTGAGCCTCTGAACATTTTACTTAGTAGTAAAGAACAGGGAAGCTGAAATGCAATGCTCCTGGCTGTTGAATCTTCGCCCAATGCAGCGGGCTTGTACACGTTGCACTTGCCACTGTTCACTGGGGTGACACCATGTCTGTATGGCACAGCGACTGGATCTTGTCCCTCATCCACCTGCAAAATGCTGAGAAGTGGCTGACTCTGAACATTCATACTCTGTTTGCCAATTTCTCTTATTGCCAGTCTGGAAAGAACATGGGGAAAACGCAATAACTTCGAAAAAATCAAGGGTATTATCTGATCGAATATTTATCAAATTTTGACATATGATCTGACAGGCTATGCGTCTGAGATTTTTCTGACCTGTGTTCAATCTAATACACTTCATGCTTTGTAGCAATCATTTGTCTGGCAATCTATCTAACATAATCTCGGACATCAAATTCTATCTGGCTGAAGTACTCTGACATTCTATCTGACATGGTATATTCTACTCACTGTTGTTAATAAACATTCTAACTGACATTTGATCTGTAATATTATTTGACATGTTGACTGACATTTTTCGCACCTTGCACTGTGTTTGATTTTCTCTTACTATTATTATTACATCTCATTCGGCAAATAGTATCTGATACGATTACTGGCAAATATTCTGCCGTTCTGACAGCACACTATTTTACATATTTGCTCTAACACTTTTATCTGGGTTCTCATCTACAGCTTATTGTGTTCTATTCGATTGACAAGATTCTTCCACTATAATAAGAATCTGAGCGAAATCCTACTTTCATAAACTATCAAAAAATAATTATTGCTTAATTGTATGATTCCTTTAACATAAATTCTGACATTGCGTTGGACATACTGGGTATCTGACATCGCACCAATCATTTGTCCGGCATTTTAGCTGGCTGACAGACAAATTTTCTGACCTTGCATTCTGACATTCTGTCTACTGGCATTGTCTCTGACCTTGTGTCTTTTACCGCTTGATATGTATGTTTATATTCTGTCGACTCTATCAAGTACAATTTTTCTGAATGAAAAATAATAATCTCTATATATATATATTATTTACTTATTTATTTATTTATTTATTTATAAACCAGATTCGGGTCCAGCAGGGCGCAGGGCTTACATTAATCTGTTATAATCTTCGGGTCCGGCAGGGCCCAAAACAAACTGCCTAACATGATAGTGACACATAGTCCAACAAAGGGAGGAAGCAGCAAGCTGACGTCACCTGCCAAATTGGGAAGAGATGGTGATAGCACATGGATTACCTCCCCCTAGGCCTGCCGTTGTTTGGGAGTAAGGACATAATCAACCAGCTCCACTGCAGCAACGCCCTGCACAGTCGCAATCTGGTGCAAATAGTCAGCCAAGCACATGAGCTTTTTGTCCTTGGTGAGAACGAGAGCCAAATCATCGGGGAGCCGAAAGGCCAAACCATTGAGTTCGTTCTCTCCCACACCTGGCTGAATGGGAATCTGGTGTGAAAACCACCAGATGCTATTAAGTGCCACAAACCTTAAATTCCCGGGTCCCTTAATGTAAAACATTAGGCTAAATCACATAGCAATTTTTTGGTAATAACATAACCAAAATGCCTGTTACGATCTTCTGCTCATACAGCCCTGTATTGAAGCCGCAAAGCTCACAGGCAGAAAATGTTGCTTCTTCCCTGGTGGTGTTGCCCATGAAAAGTTGATAAGAGTTGCTCAAGAACAGCGCAGGCTTTGAGCGCGACCCATCCACTGACAAAAGCCTTGCAGGGCTCTGATCCTTCTTTCAAAAAGCAGTTGGGGGCTACGATAATAGTAAGCAGTTTCTGTAGTGATTTTTAGAAGGCCAGCTTCAAGTTTAAATCAGCAGCCTGGGTTCAGTGAAGCTTGTTGCTGGGATGATCTCCAACTCGACACATCGCAATGGGTCAACAGGCTGCTTCCCACCCTGGGTCGGCCGGCAGCACGGGGAACAACCAAGGTTGCACGCCCCGAAGCGTTGACCTGGACCGTTGCTGCAGCTGGAAAGTCAGCAAGCAGCTTGTCCTTCATCTCCACCACCTTTTTGTGGGCCGAGGTGCCTTGCGCAAACTTCTGAAGCAAACTCTCGGGAAAGAATACCTGTCCGTTTTGCCAACCGAGGATCTGCAGCGTTGGGTTTGGCGCCCTTTCCCGCTCACGTGTGCTTTGTGGGTTGTGGGGGTCTCGGTCCCAACTGCTGTAAATTTTCTCTTGTAGCATGAGCTCGACCTCTTTGCCCTCCTTGTCGAAAAGCAAACCGAAATACAACATCTTCGGCCGCGCCAAAGTCTCCTCTCGGAGCCTCTGCAGAACAGCCTGCCTCATCTCGCATTGCCTGGCTGGATCATTTCAAAATGTCATGGTCACAAACACTAACCAAATGGACACTTCACTCCGATTTAAGGGACTGTTGATAGAACTTCTACCGCCGAGAATTCTGATTTTTTCCGGGAATCTCAGAGGCTCGCAACTGTCGTCACTTTTCAATCATTTTAAAGGGGGAACTCAAAACCCTCAAAACCGAAACTTTAGCTTCATCAGCAACATCGTCGTGAACATCTTCATCATCATCTTCATCAACAACATCATAATAACCATCATCAGCACCATCATCACCACCATCATCATCATCATTTCCATCTTCTTGATCATCCTGGAGGCGGCAGCAGATGGGAGCACTTTTTTCATGCGTAGCACAACATATGTGTGGAAGTGCAAGAGAACCTACAGTAACATAGCATGACATATGGAGAAATAGAGTAGCGTAGAATGACGTATGTGTGGAAGTGCAAGAGAACCCACAGTAGCGTAGCATGACGTACGTGTGGAAGTGCGAGAGAACTTCCAATCTTTAGTAACGTGGAATGACATATTGTGGGAATGTAAAAGAACCTAGAGTAGCATAGCATGGCATATGTGTGGAAGCGTAAGAGAACCTACAGTAGCGTAGATTGGCGTAAGTGTGGAGGCGCAAGAAAACCTACAGTAGCGTAGTATACCAGTAGTACCGCACAAGGCGGTGGCGGAAGTTTCAAAAATAGGAAACCTATAGGAGAAATTGGTTGTTGTGAATCAGGGATGGCAGAGCGAAGCCACTGATTGACCGAAAGGTGGTTGGAGTTGTGTTTGCTGGAATGGTTGCAATGGTTGCAGTGGTCACCTCACCCACAATTGCTGGATGTAGTGTGATGTACTGCAATTGTAGTTGTAGTTGTAGCGTAGTGGAGTTGTAGTTGTGGTGTAATGTAATTAGTGTAGTGTAGTTGCAGTCATATAGTTGTAGCTGTAGTTGTTTTGTAGTTGTTGTAGTTGTAGTTGTTGTGTGGTTGTACTTGTAGTGTAGTTGTAGTTGTAGTAGTAGTTGTTGT